GTTATATTTGTTATAACGGTTGTTATATTTGTTATAACGGTTGTTATCTTTATTATAACGGTTGTTATCTTTATTATAACGGTTGTTATATTTGTTATAACGGTTGTTATCTTTATTATAACGGTTGTTATCTTTATTATAACGCTTGTTATATTTGTTATAACGGTTGTTATCTTTGTTATAACGGTTATCTTTATTATAACGCTTGTTATCTTTGTTATAACTGTTGTTATCTTTATTATAACGCTTGTTATCTTTGTTATAACGGTTGTTATATTTATTATAACGGTTGTTATATTTATTATATCTCTTGTTATCTTTATTATAACTGTTGTTATCTTTATTATAACGGTTGTTATATTTGTTATAACGGTTATGTTTGTTATAACGGTTGTTATATTTATTATATCTCTTGTTATCTTTATTATAACTCTTGTTATCTTTATTATAACTGTTGTTAGTGCAGAAAACTTTGGACTGCAGCCATCTGGAGTGTGCACGTGCCACTTCACAAATGGAGCATGTCACAGCTCCGTGGGGGGTTCCTCAGAAGATCTCCGACCTGGAGGATTCAGAGAGATCGAGTGTGTTGTCTGTAAATGAACGAACGTTTCACGTCGTGTAAACGAGGCCTCAGACTGGCTGCCCTGTCTGTCAGTCAAGAGACAAAGTTCATAGTTGATGATCAGCTGACTCTGTTTGTTTAATGCCGTCTACATAATTCGTTCAACCTTTATTTACACAGATACCTTTGAGATGGACGTATTGGGCCCCCTGGTCTAGAATAAAAAACAAAAATAGATAAACCTCCACAGCTCCAGTTTTCTTTGTTTATTTTTGAACCACTGGTTACTTGTAAATCTTATTTTTTTATTTTAGTCTTTCTTGCTTGTTTTTGCCATTTTAGTTTTTTTTTTGTTTGTTTTGTGACTGAGTCTCACTTTTCCTGTTAGTTTTTGTTTATTGTTGCATCATTTGTTTATTTGTTTTTGTTTATTGTAGAGGTCGGTTGATTTGTTTTTTCTCCTCGCAGCTAATGGCTGATATAAAATATGTTTTTGTGTTTATCAATAATTGCCAAACTTAAATGAACATTTATTTACCACCCTTTGTAAAAGTTGCATTTAAAAGTAACAGAAGAGCTGCTGCTGCATTTTCCTTCGTGCTTTTACAGATTTCTGGTTTAATAAAAGCTCCACATTTTCTGAAGAATCAGTCGATTTTTAAATAATTTGGACAAGAAGTCTTTCAGATGATAAATTGATCAGCCAGTAAACAGGTTTTTCAGCTTTTTTAATTTTTATTTGAACGCATCATCAAAAACAATTTAAGAATTTTAATGTGTTTTAGTTTAAAACATTTTTTTTAGACGGTTGTAGGTTTTTAATTTAGTCCCAAACTGTGTTTTTATTTAAATTTTATATTTTTAAACTTTAAGTGGAGAATTTGCTGAAACGAGGTTTTGTTTCATGAAACCAGAATCTTTGCTGTTACTTCAGGAACTGGTTTCTGCTTGAGCTCGTGGGTTTCTGTCGGACTCTAACGGGTCGTCGTGTTCTTCCTCCCGGCAGGTGGTGAAGGCCTTCGACCACAAGACTCAGACCCACCTGGCTCTGAAGATGGTCCGCAACGAGAAGCGCTTCCACCGGCAGGCGGCGGAGGAGATCCGCATCCTGGAGCACCTGAGGAAACAGGACAAGGACTCGAGCATGAACGTGATCCACATGTTGGAGCACTTCACCTTCCGGAGCCACATCTGCATGACCTTCGAGCTGCTCAGCATGAACCTCTACGAGCTCATCAAGAAGAACAAGTTCCAGGGCTTCAGCCTCCCGCTGGTCAGGAAGTTCGCCCACTCCATCCTGCAGTGTCTGGACGCTCTGCACAAGAACCACATCATCCACTGCGACCTGAAGCCCGAGAACATTTTACTCAAGCAGCAGGGCCGCAGCGGCATCAAGGTAGGTCGTCTGAAGCTCGCCACGAGAAGCACGTTCGTCTCCGTTAACGACCAACAAGCCGTCCTCTCTGTCCTCCTGCAGGTCATAGACTTTGGGTCCAGCTGCTACGAACACCAGAGGGTTTACACCTACATCCAGTCCAGGTTCTACCGAGCGCCAGAAGTGATTCTAGGTAAGAAACGGTGGCCGGGTTAGCAAGAACGCTGATCTCTGTCATTTCTGCTCATTTCCTGACGGTGCACTAAATAATGTGAGGCGAAAATGAGGTTTTACTAACTTCAGGCATGCCAGTGAACGCACCATGAAATATAATCATCAAAACCTTGTTATCGTCTTGGGTTTAGTGTTTTAAATCAAATTAAACTGCATTTGGAATTATTTAAATTTTTATATTAAACAATAGTTTCTGACCAAATAGCTGTTCAAAAATAAAATATACAAACAAATGATTATAAAAAAAATTCCTAAATAATTTCAGATGAAAGATCCCGTATTTTCCGGATTGTACGTCGCTCCGGAGTAAAGGTCGCATCAGTCAAAAAATACATAATGAAGAGGACAACACAATATGCAAGTTGCTTTGGAGTAAAAGTCGCATTTATTTAGACGTGTATTTCACAAAGTGCAAGAATAGACATTTAATCTGAAATAATAACACACAGAACCAGGGGCCCTGATGGACATTTCCCGGTGGCCTGGCCCGCTCAGTGGTCGCTGAGGGACTGGACTAAAGGCTCAGTTCAGGTCGTGCTTTATTACCGTATTTTCCGCCGTACACGTTGCCCTGCCCTATAAGTCTCATCAGTCCAAATGTGTCTAATAAAGTGGAAAAATCCATAAATACGCCGCTTCTATTATGCGTCACAGCTGGTGCGTTGCGTTTGTTACCTGTCACCGCTGACAACCGGAAATGTGGGCCTGTGTTGTGCTAAAGATCGGTTGGCTGCCAAATGGCGGCTGTAGGAGCATACACGGGAGGACTTTAACAAGAATTTGACAAGATTAACACTTAAAAACAATTATTTGTTTGCTGGAAATTATAGCAAAGGTGCGTCTCAGTTGAACTTTTCTTTAATAAACGCACTTTGACGGTCAAATCAGCTGCACTTTCAAAAGTATTCGCTGCCTCGGTGCTCCGGGAGCGCGCAGAGGGAGGAAATCAGGAAGGAGGAACGCTGCGCATTTCTTCGAAATTTAACAAGATAAACACCTAAAACAGTTGTTGGCTCGAAATTATAGTAAAGTTGTCTCAGTTGAACTTTTCCTTAATAAATGCACTTCAGTGGTCACATTAGCTGCATTTCGCCGGGTGTCGATTTGACTGTTGCTCCAGGCGAGCTGGACAAAAGTGGCAGGCTTTGGCATTAATAGCCACTTTTACCTATTACATAACACAACGGCATGCCATACTACTAGAGTGCCATCTAGCGGCTGCAAATGGTAATGTTTACTCTGGTTCAAGTCAGTATGAATGAACATTTAACGCGTCAGTCAAAAATTGAGTTGTGAATACGGGAAAAACATAAATAAGTCACTTTATACTATACGTCGCAGGACTGGCCGAACTATGATATAAAGATCCAAAAAAGTTAAATCTGGTCCTCTGGACATTCAAAAAAAACCAAAAAACAAAGCAAATCAACAAAAAAATGTAGAAACGTTTCGTCTCTCATCCGAGAGACTTCCTCAGTCTGAGGTGCTGTATTCAGCTCAGTCTCTTAAATAGCACCTTCTCAGAGTGGATCAACCAGTTTTGCTGCTGACAACCAGAACCAGCTGATCACATGCTCAAGAAGGACCATCAGCCTAACAATGGATCATTTTTTTTGAATGTCCAGAGGACCAGATTGAACTTTTTTGGATTTTTCTACCTGGATTATTGAGCATGCATCAGGATATGATATAAAGAGCAACTTATAGTCCAGAAAATATGGTATTTAAAACTTAAACTACTGTAATTTCCAGACTATAAGCCACTACTTTCTTCACACTTTCACACGCTTTGAAGCCCACAGCTTATACAATGCTGCAGCAAATTTATGTATTTTATTCATTTAACAGGCTAACGAGCTTCCTGCCGCCAAAACATTTAGCCTCATTACATCCGGGCGCTCGCATAGCTGCCTGTCTCTTGTGGGGTGGGATAAGACTACCTGTATAAATCAAACTTTGTTTCCCACCTCCCTGCGGGAGTTTACCCCCTCGCTGGGGCACAACAAAGTATTTGCAGCCACTCAACATAAGTGTGAATCATGAATCGAATCAAATTGCAAATTTGCCTCAAGTGACGTTGAGAGCGACAACGAAAGAGACTGAGGACGTGTGTGATGAAGTTTTTCTGAGGCTGTGTTCAGTTCTGACTCTGAAGAAGATGACTTCAGTGGTTTTAGTGCACAGGAATAAGACCAAGATAGTGATCAGTGACTTTTCCTGGTAGGCTACTGCATTTTTAATTTTTATTTTTTTTTAACCAGCTGTGTTACCGGCACTGTTCAGAAAAAAAAAAAATTACTGTACATATTTTTGTATGTTACCGATACCTATTTAATTAAAAGTTTAAATAATATATTTCTCTTTTAAATATCTCATGTTACAACGTGGACACCTGCGGCTTATAGACAAGAACGGCCTATATATGTACAAAATGTATTTATTTCTACTTGGTGGGTGTGGCTTATATTCAGGTGCATTCAATAGTCCAAAAATTACGGTAATCAAAATTTTAAATTAATCAAAATGTTCTGCTCAATTAGAACTAATAAAACCCATGGAAACTAAATGACGTATAAATTTTAGATCTCTAATTTCAGTAGGAATCCCAACAGTTTTATTCCCTGAGGGTTAAAAAAAGCTTTAAAAGCCACAAAATATTTATTGTACACATTTTTTGTTTTTGAGTTTAAAAGTGTTTCCAGTTGTCTGAAGTAGTGAAACAAGGTTTCTATTCGATGCCTGCCTGAGTTGAGGCTTACGTCTTAAAGGTTTTCCCGTGTCCTCCAGGGTCCAGGTACGGGATGCCCATCGACATGTGGTCCCTGGGCTGCATCCTGGCGGAGCTGCTGACCGGGTACCCGCTGTTGCCGGGCGAAGATGAAGCCGACCAGCTGGCCTGCATCATCGAACTTCTGGGCATGCCCAGTCAGAAGCTCCTGGATGCCTCCAAGCGGGCAAAGAACTTTGTGTCGTCCAAAGGGTATCCTCGTTACTGCACCGTCACCACCCTGCCCGACGGCACGACTGTGCTGAATGGGGGGCGCTCACGGCGCGGGAAGACTCGCGGACCCCCGAGCAGCAAAGACTGGAGCGCAGCGTTGAAGGGTTGCGACGACGCGCTTTTCCTGGACTTCCTCAAACATTGTCTCGAGTGGGACCCGGTACTCAGGATGACGCCCAGCCAGGCGCTGCGCCACCCGTGGCTGAGGAGGCGATTACCCAAACCGCCAACGGCAACGACCACGGGGGAGAAAACTCCATTGTTCAAACGGGGCACCTCCACCACCGACGGTGCCATCACCTCCATCTCTAAACTTGCCACGACCTCCTCCACCACCTCCTCCTCTTCCAAAACCAGGACTAACTTGGCAGCAATCACAGATGCCAACGGGAACATCCAGACTAGGACGGTTCTGCCAAAACTGGTCAGTTGAGGGTGAACGCACCCCCACCTTCTGCAGCGGAGACAAAAACTGCTCATGAGCGATAGCCAGACCTAAATAAAACTGGTGGGTCCAGTTTGGATGAGGGTTTGGTTGTTTATTGCACTGCTGGGGTGCATTCAAGACAAATGGAAACTTGGCGTTGGAGTATTTAAACATGCAAAGTGGCCGGGCTCAAACACATAACGTGTTTAGAGGGGCCTCAAGTTTTTAGACCCGTCTTTTTTTTTAAAAAAAGGATTGTTTTTATAATTTTAGCCAAGACAGGAAGTGAGAGCGTGTGAAGTGACTGTGGTGCGTTTCAGACAATCGGAACACGTCGCGCTGATCTGTAGCTTCAAACTCACCAACATGTGAAAAACATGGTGCTAATGGAGGGAACAAGGCTTTTCAAAACAATTCACTTGAGTTCATCAGTTTAACACCAAAAATGTTCAGAGACTTCAGTTCTCACAAAGATTTATTTGCAGAAAATCTTTAGTGATTCATCCTTTTAACGCTAAAGCTATGAGAATGATTAGCTTGCTGGTTTTTCTTTTGTTTGACTAAAAAACAAATGTGATGAATTTTAGTTCAGGGACATTTAACTAAATAACTTGCAATCGAAGATCCTAAAACTTTGATTTGAACATCTACCTGCTGGGTGGCCAGCTTCTGTTTCATATTGACTAGCTAGCTGGTAGTACCATGCTATCCTAAGTTAGCATAGTGCCTGTCAGTGTTGTAAATTTTCACTACATTTGGCCCCATGTTGGGCGCCAAATGTAGTGAAACTGGCCAACTGTTAGCTGGCACAGATTAAACAGCTAAGTGTTTAGCTGTCCTAATGCTACCTTTTTACAGTTTACCTGGCTAGCAGTTAACCTAGTGGACTTCATGGTGTCAGCTAGCAGTAGCTAGCTCACAGTTTGCCTTCTTTTGTCAGTCTTGAGGCTAACTTTAGCCTTTTATTAGCCATAGCGTGTCAGCTCTCCACTGCCGAGCCTTATTGTGTCAGAATGACAACTTTTTTACAGTTTAGTGTTTTAACGTGTTTGTTCTCGTGGTTAGCAGGTAGGCTAAACAGGAGCTGCCTGTGAAGGACGTTTGCGTTCATCAGAACCAGTTTTTCCTCCTTCGTTTCAAACCAAATATGAATTTTAAAGGAGGAAAGTGGCCGACGAAGGAGACGTTTACAGGCAAGTTATAAATAATGTTCAAATCAAAGGGCTCAATTATGTTAAACACTTTGTTTGTGGTCTGACAGGGGAACAGAAACCAAGTTTTGAAGGAGCACATGGGAAAGTCAATTTTATTTTTATAGATCACCAAAACAATTCCAGACATAAAGTTATAACCAAACCTTTTTGCTTTGATTGTTTTAAACAAGGCCTTCAGTTTGTCTCACATATTTAAAATTGTTTTATACAGTTTTACAAAACGAGGGAAACTTTAGTAAAACCAGAGACACCAGTTCCTTTATTTACCAGGTTTTTAACTTGTAAGATTAACTTTTTAAATGTCTTTATTCTTCCCAAATACAAAACAGAACAGCTCTTTAAAAATAAAATATGTGCGCTGAAAACAAAAACATAATGTAAATAAAGTTATTGAAAATTCATTGTAAGATAAATTAATCTACATTAAAAGAGTTTTGATAATGAGCAGTTTTAAACCCTGTTTAAATGTAATAAATGTTTTGTAATCATGATCCTGCAGAAAGAGGACAGAGAAAACTAAAATATGGCTTCAAAAAAATCACAAACCTTACAAAACTCTGAAAATAAATTACTGATGGGGAACAATAAAGTTACGGTATTGAAATTAAATTTAAAGTATCCGTCTCACTTCATTGTGTCTAAAGTTACCATTGTGGAGTCAAATCACAAATTTAAGTCATAAGGAAATAAAATCAAATATGAAAGCTCAGTAATATATCATATTTGTAGAAAAATAAAAAATGTGAAATGAAAAAAGGACTAAGGGAAACTTATTGGCTTACCAGGCTTTGTCTACACTACTCTAAATTAATATATTTTTAATCCTCTCGCCCACAAGCAATTTTATCCACATAAAAGCAGAAAAACAGACATTTTCTTCAACACTTCTAAAGTTTCTAAAACTGCCGTCATCTACACAAAACACAAAATGACCCAAAAGGCTGCAGTAACTACCTGGCCTGTAGGCGGCGCTGTGACTGAAAAGCACCTGAAACTGGAAACGAAGCATGAAGCGTAAAGTTGGTATGAAATCTTACGTCAAACCCTCGTCAGCTGATTAAAGTCGTTTTTTAATTTTATTTTATTGTTTTTAAGGTTTTTCTGTCGTTGGGCATCTCAAAGCCTGGAATCTGCCTTTATCGTTGTCCTTTTCTCAGATTCTGGACCGTATATAACAACTTTTATCTTGAGGGGTTTAAAAACGAAGAAACTGGACTCTTTCTGTAGCTCAAGATATTTCACTTCTCATCCAAGGAGCTTTTTCATTTCTAAAGAAAAGTGTTTTTGTTCCAAGCTTTAAGTTGCTCCGTTAACACGAACAACTTTAAGACCTTAAATCACTCCTTCCTGCTAGTGACCAAAACATCTGTTGGTGAGCCGAGCAAACACAGACCCTAATGACCATCAGCAGAGAGGGGAGTGAGATTCATCTCATGTGATTTCTGCTCGTTAACAGAGCAGCTTCAAACCCCACTCTTTCCTTTTGAATTAAAAAAGCTTGTCGGATGAGATTGGGGGGGGAGACAGCTGCTGATAGCAGCTCAGTTCACAATGTTTGTATTAAAAAAAAAAAACGGCCACCAGATTTAATACGTTCACCAACATCTCAACTTGTTCTTTTTTTCGGCTGTTCCCTTCTTCAGCGAACTAACTTGCACAAAGGCTTGGTGATTGTTTTTAAGCTGGTTGTCCTTCCTGACACAACCACAGACCACCGAGCTACCACAGCCTCTGTGTGGAGCAGAGAGCTGCATCTAGGGTGCCTGGGGGAGCAGATGGTGGAGGTTAAGGGCCTTGCTCAAGGGCCCAGAGCGGGGCAAATGAGGGTGGAGGCAGGTGTGGGTGTTTCTGCTGTCCCACCCATATTTTAATATTGTCGTTCCGGGAGTTTGAACCGGCGACCTTCCGATCACAGGAACTTCTCTAATCTCTGCACTCCCACTCCCCCCAGCATCACAAACAACACAACGATTAATGTGAAGACATTTTTCGAAACCATGACCTGACTGTATTTTTGGCATGTCGCGTTCTGCCGTACAAGCTGAAACCACCATGAAGTCATTTTGACCTTTTTCTTTTTTTTTCTTGATTTTGTTGCCGTAAAACTTTTGAGCACGAGGTGAAAAACTTATCTGAGAGGAAACTGAACATGTTCAAAGATAAAAACTATATCTTAGGAGGAATCTCATGAATCTTCTTTCTTTGTATTTAAAGATGTCATTAACGTGGACCATATCGCCACCTAGTGGCGCGGTTTAGGTATTTCAACATTTTTGTTAAAAACAGTGTTTCTGTTTATTTACAAATAAATGTTCCAATAAAACAAATATCTGGAGTAGTGTAGACAAAGCCTTAACAAATATCTGTTTATGTAATGAGCCTAAAAAAATATCTGCGCCAAAATACGTAAAGTCCTCAGTTTTTAAAATGATCGTTTTCTAATGCGTTTAGTTATTTACCAGTTTCAAAAGAAGACTTTTCTTTATTTCTAGGCACCAGTAACAAACCGACAGTTTAATGAATTCAGCTTCATCTGATTTGAGTTTTGTCTAAGTGTAAACACCAAACAAACGATGAAACTCCACCTAAAACTTATCAGGATATGAAGGATTGACTTTTCCTGCGCGTGGATTGATCCGTCTATTGACGGCTCAGTCAAAAGGCTTCTAATGATCACACTTCACGGATGACGTGCATGATTCAGTGTTGCTAAATGATGTTTTTAATGTGACTGAATGGGAGGTGTGTGAGGAGATGTTATTTATTTGCCATGTTTTACTATTTAAAAGTCTGATCTGTGTATTTACTACAATGTGCAGTTTGTACTGTATACTTGAATGGGTGTGTGAGTGTTTTTGTAGAGGAACGTGTGTGTGCAATATCAAAAACATTCTTAAAGCTTGTTCCCTCACGCACACGTATATATGGAAGTACATAAAAAAAAGTACCTAAATGCACCACGAAACAGTCGATGAAGGTGATGATGACGAGGAGGAGGTTCTGTTGTAGCACACAGGAAGTGGACGACACTGACGCACAGGAGGAACTGGAAGTGTAGATGATTCTACATGCTCCGCCCAAATCAGGGGAATCTCCGCCCCTTTTGTGGGAAAAGAGGTGGAGAAACAGGAAGTGGGGAGGGGATCCTCTGGTTGTTGTTGTTGTTGTTTTTTAGATCCGATCGGTTGATGTATGGGGTTTTTCTTTTATTTTTTAATTGTTTTTTGTGAGACGGAGTGCTGAGAGTCAAAACTTTGTGCCTTCTGTATCTTAATGCCATGCCACGCCCACCCAACACACACACGTTAGCGGTAACCATTCGTCAGTTGCTAACAGCGTAGCGACATGATTGGTTCCTGGTTTGTTTCAGAAAATCCCAGAGAGGCCGTTTCAACATGTTTTACTTTGAATTTAGTGAAAACCCAACAAACTATTTGCTACAACTCCTAATTGGATCAAGGAACAGCAGTGGAGAGAACCAGTGAACTAAAACATGGACGCTAAACCAAACTCAAGTACTTGTGATTCTAAAATAATCAACTGTTTCCACTTATGTTACAGTAGCTTAGCATGTAGCTAAATGCTAACTGCTTGTAGCTGTGAATTTAGCAGTTTAAAAAAATATCTGAACTGTTGCTTGTTGGTTTTCACTTATTTTGCTAACACAGTGCCAGCCCATCACACAGGAAGTATTTGTACATTTTAAACGGGGCAGTTTGTGCGTTAAACTGATCCTTGGACTTCTGGAAAGTTTAGCAGACAAGGCTAACATGGCAACCACAGATTGTAGCTTTAAACTGATCAGCTCAGACATTTTGTGTGCGTGCGCATGTGTGTGTGTTGAGGTAATGGAGGGTTGTGCAACATGGCCGCACAATGTACAGACACATATCAGCCAACTGTCGCCATCTGTCGCCTCGTGACTGAAAGGCGACTGCTGACAACGAGGCTAAGCTAACACTAGCCGTTTGCTGCACTGACATTTGTTTTCCCCACAGTGAAGCTAACACTAGCCTACTGCTAACTGAACGCTAGTAGCGAATAGCGGGGTTTTGCCTACTACCTGCAGCTACGATGAGCTCTTCCCAGAGGCGCTCACATGT